TGGTAGACGTGGCAGGACGCGGGGGCGAGGGGCGACGAAGACTGGAGGGAGGACGGGAGAGGTAGACGGAGAGGGCAGAGGGAGGAGCGGGGCGGGGACAGCGGGGCGGGGAATGGCGGCGGCGACGGCGGACCAGAGACGAGGGGACGGCGGCGCGGGAGGTGCGGGACGAGGAGCGGAGGAGGAAGGAGCGGGCGGAGTTGGAAGGGGCGAGAGAGGGAACTGGGGCGGGCTGACCAGAGCGACTGCAGCAGCGCGAAGAGGCGAGGCCGTGCTCGCGCGCGAATTGTCGACGCTGCTCACCCTCGAGTTGCTGGTCCCCAGCGCGCGTGGTGCGGCCAGTGCCGCCGGCCGCGCGGGCGACGAGGGAGGGGAGTTGATCTCAACTCTCTGAAGAGGAAGACAACTTCGCCTCTTGAGAGGTGAAGAGGTGAAGTTGTTTTCTTCTTCATGTGTGTGTCTGACGGGCAGAATTTATTATTATTTATTTATTTCAAAACTTAAATAAATAAAAAACGCAGAAAATATTAATATTTCAGGGTCACACGAGTGGGTAGTTTAAGTACTAAAATATTTTCCTCTCAGCAGACGGAATGACCCACTCCCGGTAGCTCAGTTGGTAGACGCACAGCATAGAGCATTTGACTGTAGTGATATGACGCCGCAATCATCAGATTGTCCCTAGTTCGATTCTAGGTCGGGAGAGGATTTTTTTTGTAATTTTTGATGTACAGTATCTTTTGCTGCAGGCGCAGCATCGTATAACCGTTCGAACCGTAGATACTGTAGTGAGAAACTCCTGGTAATCCATTTTCTTGCAACTGGCTGCAACTCCTTCTCCCCTCCTCGCTCAGCTCGTCCAGGCGGCTTATATGCTGTAAACAGTCGAGTACTTCGGAGTGCTTGTAATATCGCTGGTTCGATTTAAGGAAGAGGCCTTACCAGCTATTCTCAGAGCGCCACTAAAGCGCCAACACAGTTTGAGTATTTCCTAACCAACGCTTATTCCCAGGCATGTCATCAAGTGGCAAGCAAAAGAAGTTCGCGTATGAAGCACGTATTGAGATGCCCTCCAAGAAGTATGCGGAGATCGTTGCAACCGCAATCAATGTCGATCCAGAGTTGCGCCCAGATGAGGTTACTCGCACCATACATGTCGACGGAAACGCCTTTATAATCGATATCGCCGCCACGGATCTGAAATCCCTCAGAACCTCCGTTGGATCTGTTTATGACTTCATCCGTGTCTCCCTTGCTGCGTTGGCGGAATTCGGGTAATACCCCCGTGACAGTCTATTGATCTTGCCACAAGCTAATGAACAACTTGGGCGATTGGAAGACCTGACCTAACGGCCTTGCGGGCTAATCTTTGCTCCAAGAAGACGTTCCGTCTTTCCTATCTGCTATACGAATACCAAAACTGGTCAAGGCGTCGTCCCGGGCCTTGTCGCAGACCTCAAAAATCGCTCCGATATCCTTCCTTTTCGCCGCGGCACGAATTCTGGCTCGAAGATCTACGAAAGCATCCGTGATATCCGTCGGAGATCCATCCGTACTTGAAGGTGTTGCATTTTTGGCAACGAAACTGCATGCGTCGGCCGAGATTCCTAACATCCTGAGCGTTGTTTGCACTAGTTCGGACGCAGAACTATATGCCAATGCCGCTGCCCCAGACTTCCATGTCCCATCACTTGATATAGATGCGTTTGCTGTTGCTACCAGGCGATTCATCTTCGCGAGTGCCTGGGGGGTGTCAAAGTCATCCGAAAGGGCATCCTCGATCGCTTCTTGAGTGGATGTCACCTCGGCAGCAAGCTTAGCACCATGTGGGCACTCAGGATGAAAAGGCAATCGCGTGCCTTCCATATTCTCCAGCTGGGCGAAGGGGTTGCGTGAGGTGAATCTTCTCAGTCTTGTGAGATACGAATTCGCGTCAAGGAATCTATCGTCCGAATACTCCACCGGAGACGAATACTTATGCAAGAGGCAAAAGACTCGGAAGCAGTCTGCTGTTCCCCCTTGGTTCATAAATTCCCTAACAGTAATAAAGTTCTTGACAGATTTGGACATTTTTCTCCCAGACAGGTGCAGGTGGCCTGCATGCATCCATGTGTGAGACCAACGGTCCAATTCGTCACCGTGTGCCTGAGCTACTTGGAGATGACATAGTTTCGCCTCCGCAGTGGCCAGCTCGTTGGTGTGATGCGGAAATCGAAGATCGATTCCACCAGTATGCAAATCCAAAAACGGCCCTATGGCATGCATTGCCATGGCAGAGCATTCAACATGCCATCCTGGCCTTCCAAGACCCCATGGAGAGTCCCATACACCGTCTTGATGTGCATTAGTGTCTCGTTTCCACAAAGCGAAGTCTCGAGGGTCCCGCTTCTCGAGGTTTGTGTTTTCGCCGTGACTTGTTCTTGAGGATGAACTTGGGTCCCCTTTGAGACTTCGCGACGGATCTAACTGGCTATATCTCTCACCGGAGTAGAGTACTGAGAAATAGACATTCCCGCTGTCACAGGCATACGCGGATCCAGACTTGATCAAATCTGATATGAAGCTCTGCAGTTCTTTAATGTGTTCGGTGACTCGTAGTATCTTCGACGGGGGCAAGACATTCAGTGTTTGCATATCCTCGAAAAACCGGGCTTCGAAATGACTCGTCAATGCAGTCGGGGACATTTTTCTTTCCGCCGCCCGTTTTAGAATCTTGTCATCTATATCAGTGATTCCCAGAGCATAGTCAATCCGTGTCCCTGTCAATGAGAGTATCACGCGCCTGATGATATCGAAGGATACATACGTACGCGCATGACCTAGATGAGCATCGTCGTATACCGTCGGACCGCACGAGTACCATTTCAGTTCGCCAATTGTGCGCGAACTGAGTGGCTCTTTCATTCTGTTTTGAAGGAGGGCATTGCGTACAACAATTGGGCGCCGCCCCCTCGCAGTGCGTAAGACGTGCCTGGTCAACTCTTTAAAAACAGCTTGCTCCATTGTGCTCAGAAAACGGAGCTTCCACGACAAGAATATTAAGTCTGCACTTGGTAACAGAAAAGCTGAAGAGACCCGCTTCTGAGCATTTCTTCAGGGTTTCGACAAGCCGCAATGCACAAGTGAATGGTTGTCAATGGTTGTATATGGTTGTCGTTCCCGCCTTTACCAGCACAAAAACCCCAGTGGATATCAAATCTGGGCGACAGGTACTGTAGCCATCGGTAGTAGAACCCGCTGAACAACCCAGGTGCGTCGAAAGAGCGAAAGAAGCTGTCACCCCAAAATAATGACAATGGTCTTGCAGCACTTGATAGCGACCTTCCAAAGGAACGATTCTGTACTTCCGTAAGAGCCTCGATGACGAACCTCGGTCTTGAGCTGAGCTTGATTTGTCTTCTCCATGATTGGACTGCCGTCCAGATTTTAATTTTTTTCAGTCTTTTTTAATTTTTCGTTTGTTCGGTATGAGGTGTCAGCTTTTCAAGTTTCTTTGCCTCGTTATGCACGTCGAGCGCTTTGACAGAACGAAGCCTTTTTTCCCAGCTACACGTACACCCACTTTCGACTAGGCCTCCAAGCTCTCAAAGCTCAACTTCATCGTCGCCCACCTACCGTGAAGGGAGCAGTGGAGTCTGCGGTGATTCTATCACTAAGATGTCGGACGATCTTTTCGAACTGAGAAACTATTTCTACCTCGGCAACCTTGCAGCGGCCACAACTGAAGGTGAGACTGTCGCAGTGGAAGGCGCAGGGGCAGAGATTGAGCGCGATGTTATTCTAAAGCGACTCGAATTGGCCAAAGGAAACTTTGACGACATTTTGAAATCAGTCAACGATGATTCAACGCCTGCGTTACAAGTTGTTAGGCTTCTAGCCCAGCTCCACAAAGATCCGTCGATTTCCGATACAGCCACAGCCGCTCTTCAAGCATGGACATCAGATGATGTGTCTACGGCTTCTCCATGCTGCCTTCTCATGTGTGCCATTGCGTACGCGCACCTGGGAGATTTTGACAATGCTCTGCGCACCGCACACCGCGCCAATGGTCTAGAAGAGCTAGCAGTCAAGGTGCAAGTTTTGCTGAAAATGGATCGGATTGACGTCGCAGAAAAAGAAGTCGTCACGATGCAAGCCATCGACGAGGATGCTACGTTGACTCAGCTGGCAACCGCTTGGATCCATCTATCCAAGGGAGGAGAAAACGTCCAGGAGGCAGTTTACATTTATCAAGACCTGCTAGAACGCCATGGTGCAACCGATTCAATACTGAATGGAATGGCAGTTTGCCATTTAGCTATGGGCAAAATAGACGAGTCCGAGCGGGTGCTGAAGGAAGCGTTAACAAAGAATCCGAACTGCGCATCCACTTTAATTAATGTTATATGTTCATCCAAGTACAAGAACAAGCCAGCTGAGCTTATTTCGAGGTATTTCGCTCAGTTGCAACTTGTTGCACCGTCAAATGCCTGGCTTGTGGACTACAAACAAAAAGAAGCAGACTTCGACCGACTTGCCGAACAAATGGCAACCGCATAAGCACATCAATACGCTTACATATTTTCACTTACTGCGATTGTTATAGTTGCTGCAGCTTTCTTTCATGATAAAATACCTCCCTAACTGTGTTAAGGGACTCTGCATCTAAATCGCAAGATGGCTGGTAAGAACAGATTCCATCTAAGCTTTATTTATTGCAAGTGCCTGTGGACGAGGTTCGATATAGTGCTCTTGACAGTCCACATCTTGTGGACTAGTAGTTGCCCGAAGATCTACAGCAGCGGTACAATGCACTTCGAAGTTCGGACACCAGGATCATTGCCACCGAAGCGGTTTTCGAAAAACTATTAGTATTCCTACATACTGCTAGAAAGAGGATAACCGCAAGAAGGCATAGCGTTTTTTTTTTCTTTTCAGCTATGACTTCGTTGCATACTCTCTAGTTAGTAAGAAATGGCGCCTTGCCCACATGTCATGAAGAAGTATGCAGCTTGGCAGTTTGTGCTCAATTAGTTGTTAGATCGGGATGGGACCAGTTGAAGGCAGTCTGGGATTGGATATCGAAAGACATCAGTGAGAGGAGCAAGTAGTCAACCTCAGACAAGTTGCGTTTGTGGGACACCAGAGACCTTCATCGATATTGTTTCATCCAACTTCTTCGTTCCAGGATCTCCATAGCGAATGGGAAAGATATGGCTGAGTTCTTGAGGAAAGAATATCCTTTTGACTATCTCTCTTCAAAGCTGATTTTCTCTGCAGTGGCTTCTCTTAGCCGTAGACGAATGTACAGGCGAGGCGGTCTGACACGAACTACGTGAGGGGAAGCTTCACAGAGATCTTTCACAGCAATAGCGGCAGAATTCTCAAGAGAATCTTCCTCTTCTGTTGAGACTGGGACTCTCATAGAGACTCTTTTCTTCAGCGGGAGGTGTTCTGGTGGCAAATTTGGTCTGTATTGATGATTTTGGTTGTCAATAACGTCATCCCGCACCTGCACTGATGCATCGGAAAGTGATGAAAGCGGGCTAAAGGCACCGTCGTCTAGTGAAATTCTTCGTTTCTTTCGGAGAGAAAAAGGATCAACGAAATCAGGGCGTTGTTTCACAATTCGGTTGCGCGTCCCTCGACGGACGTTTTGCTCGGCATTATCTGCAAGTCTTCTTTTGCGCGGCATGGTCTGCGAGGGGTGGAATAAACTTTGATTGTCTGAACTTAAGAGAGCTGACGTTCCTGTGTTGCTTAAGAAAATTGAATTGGACAGAATGTTGAAAGTCTGTGTTGGCCTTGTCAACAAGAAGTTTCATGCATGACGTAGCTTTAAAACAACCAGAGTGGGATGGAAATGTTGAGTTTCTGCTCTGTGCAAAATCACCGGTCCATTCGCAAAAATACTGTATATTCTTCAAAAAGGCAATTAATCATCACTTTGAAACAGCCTCTTTGCAACAGCATCACTATACAACTGCCTTTTCCGACACACTACTCGCGTTTCTCGTCAACTGTCGACAGCACTAAGGCTCCGAGATGAGCCTGCAAAGGCAATTCGAAGAAGCAGCGGAGAAAGTTTCATCTGGTTCCCTGGGCAATTTGTCTCAAGACGACCAGCTAGAGCTGTACGGTCTTTTTGCAGTCTTGAAGAAGGGTGCCGCCCCAAGCCAAGGTCCATCTGCGTTCCTCGACCCTCGCGGTTTTGCAAAATGGACAGCATGGGCGAGCAAGAGTCATTTTATTAAGGAGGAGGCAATGTCAGCATACATCGAACTTGTTGAAAGACATAAAGCTGCTGGAACAGGAGTTGACACAGGAACGTCGGGCAACTCAGACGGATTTGGAAACAAGGCGTCTTCCGGTTTCGATATAAGTGCAGGTCAAGAGGAAAAGATGTCGAAAGCGTTGCATGACATATGCTACTGGGCGACAATTGGCGACACTAAATCTGTCAAGCATTGCCTCGACAAGCAAGGCGTATCTCCAGACTTTCGCGACCAAGACGGTCTCACTCCATTGATGCGAGCCGTGGATAGGAACGAGGCGCATGTTGTGGACATTCTAGTGTCAGCAGGAGCGAATATCGATGCTGTTGATGAAGAGGGGCAGACAGCACTTCACTACGCTGCGTACTGTGAACATAATGAAATGGCCGGTTTATTGGTATCTTACGGGGCGTCACTAGAAAAGAAGGACAATGATGAGATGACACCACTGGAAGCAGCAACGAAAGAGACGGCCGAGGTGATGCAGCAGGCCAAGTCTGGAACATGGACAAGGAAAACCACACCATATCCAACGGATTGTCCCGCCAAGATGGGGGTAGTACCTTCTTCTTTTGACCAAAAATGGCAGATATTGCTTAGTGTTTCTTTCGTCACAGCCGCTGCGGTATTTTTGCACTACCGCTACAGACGGTAGCTGGGTTGCTGCAGTACAAGCAGTACAATACTAAGTCATGAAACCTCCGGGCGAGATCGGATTGAAAGACAGCGGTTTGTTTTCTTTTGGCGGAGAGTGCCTAAGAACTGCGGTCTCGCATCCGGCGGATAGCGACCTTTTCTCTCTCGTCTACTTTGGCAAGGCTGTTGACGGATTGACGGAGTGAGGTGAAGACGTGTGGACGGTTGTACTGGTCCGTCTCCGGGAATGACATGAGCAATGCGGCGGCCGCTCCAACTGTAACAACCATGCTCAAAACGCGGACGGTAGGGATGGGAAGAGGGGTGAGCGACATGTCGAAGATGGCCGAGGGTCTCAGGATTGGATCTCTCACACAGTCTAGAGGGACGAAGAAGTGTTTTCAGAGGATCGGGGCGTAAACCGCGTTTGATTTTTTGATTTTAGAGAACAAGAATAGGGAAATGGTGAAAAGGCATTTCACCCCAAGAGTGCCCAAAGCCCCTCAACGGGTATTGCTTTCTAAGCCCTACCCTTGGTACCTGTACGTAAGTGGTACCAAGGTGCAGTTTGTTACTGGAGTGGAGTGAACATGTTTGCCAAGCTCCACCCGCCGCCTCCCCCCCTGTAGACTAAAAAGCGAGACGCTCACGCCAGGCGCCGGCACCAACAGCGGCGTTCCTCCCGCGGCGCAGGCGGCTCCCAAAAAGTGCATCCTCACCCCAGCTACGCCCTCCTCTCCTCCTCTCCTCATCCCACGCAGCGTCGGCCTCACACGGCGTCCTTGGGTCCCGACACTGTGCGCTGCGTCTGTGTCTCCTCAGATGTGAGCTTCCATTAGTCCTGCGACGTCTCCTTCTTCGACCCCTCCTCCCTGCGCCTGTAGGCGCT